CTGTCAGTCTATCTGATCGCAAGGTTAATTTAAGTTCAAACTGAATATTAACGATTTTACTACATTCCTAGAATGTCCTCTCTAGAGTACATTTCTTATCTTATCATATTCTGATCATCTTGAATATGATGAGACCAGAAGACTTCCTATATTCCTACATATGCTTCTCACAAATTATTTTATAAGATCATTAGTTGTAAAATAAATACATTAAATAATTTATTTTATTAATACTTTTGTGGGTTTCCTATCAGATTTCTCAGAGCGCAGCTATCAAATGCATGTTGCCCTAAGGTAATACCTCAGTTTGACAAAGGAGTGTTGATAGCCTGTCGTGCAGTCTCCATGGGAGCTAAGAAGACTATGCCATGGTCAAAGGAGATAACTCTTTCATCCTTTATCCCTTTCCAGAGAGTGGCAGAGAGATGTCTAGGTATTTAAAAAAACAGCAAACTATAGTTTAAGAGCAACTATGATAGACACAGACATAAATTTGAGCTCCTCTTGCCCATCCTTTCCTTTGCATTCTGTGTCTATTTGGGGAAATTTCCAAAGAAGCCAACATATCATTACATAATTATGTTATAAACTGCTCAGAGGCTACTTTAGCACTATATGGAGCAGTATATATGTATTGAAACAACAGCAACAATAATGTTTCATTCTACAGAACAAAATATTTGTGTGCATTTTGTATATTTTGGTGGTTTGGGTGGAAATTATTTTGTTTGCTTCTGTGTGGGTGGGTGTTGGTCATGCAGATGAACTTTGTGTGACTATGCCACTGTGGATGCTTGCTTGCATAGCCCTGAGACTCAGAGGATGGTGTGTGTGTGGGGGTGGGTGTGTATAGATTCTCTCTCTATCATCTTGCCCCTGATTTTTGGAAGTAGTTTATTGAAGTACTGTTGTCTGCTTTTGGAGTAGATTGGTTCTCTCTTGCCTTGTCACTGCTTTATTGGAGTAGTTTTTAAGGTGTTCTTTAGGGCTTTTGAACTATTAGGGCTATAAAAAAACAAACAGGGAAAACCAAAATGAAATGATCCAAAAGTGGTTGCCCCTTTCATATTAAATTAAAGAACTACATACCAGTAAGCCTGACATCAATCCTACAGAAAATTCTAGAACAGATTATCAAGTGGTCACTCTGCAAGCACCTTGAAAACATTATGATAATAATTAGAAGCCAACACAGATTTGTCAAGAACAAATCCTGCCAGATTAAACTCATCTCATCTTTTGATCTGTTAACCTCCCTGGTAGATAATAGGAATGCTATAAATGTAATATATCTTGACTTCAGCAAAGCTTTTGACAAAGCACACCATGATATTCTAACTAAAAGCTAACTAGGTGTGGGTTGGCTAGAACACACAGTTGGTTACAAAATCATACTCAAAGAGTGCTTATCAATGTGTCCTTCTCAAACAGAGAGAAGGTAACAAGTGGGGTATCATAAGGCCCGGTGCTCTTCAATGTTTTTATTAATGGTTTAGATGAGATAGGTGCAGGGAATGCTTATCAAATTTGCAGATTACACAAAGTTGAGTGGAATGGCTAATATCCTTGAAAAGAGAAACAAAATTTAGTAAGATTGTGACAGGCTGGAGCATTGGGCTAAAAACAACAGAATAAAATTTAACAGAGATAAGGGCAAAGATCTAGATCTAGGGAAATAAACCAAATGTACAGTTACAAGATGGAGGATAATTGGCTCAGTAATACTACATGTGAGAAAGATCCTGGAATTGTTATAGATCACAAACTGAATATGAGCCAACAGTGCAATGTGGTTGCAAAAAAGGCAAATGCTATTGAGGCTGTATTAACAGAAATACAGTCACCAAATCCTGTGATTTGGAGTTCTCCTCTATTTAGCACTGGTTAGAACTCATCTTGAGTATTGTGTCCAGATCTGGATACCACACTTTAAGAAGGATGTTGACTACAAACTGGAGCAAGTTCAGCGGAGTAAAACAAAAATGATTGGGGGCCTGGAAACAGAGCCCTCTGAGAAAATACTGAAAGGACTGGGCGATCTTCAAATACTTGAAATATTCTTATAGAGAGGAGGGGCAGGATCGGTTAGTCATCCCAGAGTGCAGGACACATAATAATGGGTTCAATTTACAGAAAGCCAGATTTAAGCTGAATATCAGAAAAACCTTCCTAACTGCTAGAGCAGTATGACAATGGAACTAATTACCTTGGAAGGTGGTAAGCATTCCAACATTGGAGTCATTCAAGAGAAAGTCATCTGTCAAATATACTTTGATTTGGATTCCTGCATTGAGCAGGAGGTTGGATTTGATGGCCTTATAGGTCCCTTCCAATTCCATTATTCTATGATTCTATGAACAAGTGAATGAAACAAATGAAAACAATAGAAGACACACACACCCAAAAGAAATAGAAAGGAAAGTTTTCACCATTCATACCCTGTATCCTGCTCTTGAAGACCATTGTTTTGTGAAATAGTCATTCTTTTTTTCTCCATCGTCCACTTCAATCCTTTACTCCCTTGAAAACAGGACATTAATTTATTTATTGGTCCAAGAAGACTAGTCTAATTTTGACAGAACATTTTCTGAGACTCTTATGATCTGATCTTTGCCCTGTCATGATGTAGAGGGGGCCAAGGACTGAAATAATTATATCTAAAATCTTTACATCAAAGACAAGTTTAAATGCAAGCTACAATGGCTGATATCCAGTAGTAACTCACAAGTAGAGCAAGCCCATGCATCAATGGACTTTAGAGAGGAGTTGACTCACCAAATGTCCATTGATTCAATGGGCCTACTCCATAATGTAAGAGAAGGAGTGCATGTCTGCATGAACAACCTCCCTAGCTAATAGGTGATAATATGCTTTGTGTTACAGTCTTCCTTTATGCCAATCATGCTCAGTCCTTTTGTACTATACAAACTTTCTAAATGTACTTATGGATATTATGAAACTTCCAGTAGTTTAAACTACTGAATCAGGAACAAAATTCTACTATAAAATAAACCTCAGTGCTTGCAATTCTTCCCTTCCCTCTAAACTCCCTGCAGCCTGTCCCAGGTCAATCTGTTAATCTGTCAATCTATTATTGTTGTTGTTACATGTCACCAAGTTGCTTCTGACTTATAGCAGCTCTAATAAGGTTTCTGAGATATATGAAATATTTAAAGAATAGTTTTACATTTTTTTTAAGCTGGCTGACTAGCTCAGTGTTTTCGGTATCTGCTTGTGGAACCAGGGACTGAGAGTACAGTTCCTCACTTGTCTCTCCTGTGAGTAGAGTCAGCCTGTGTGGTCTTGGGCAAGCTGCACAGTCCCAGGATACCTCCAGAAAAAAGGAATGCTAAACCAATTCTGAGTATTCTCTACATGGAAAACCATGAAAAAGGGTTGCCAGAAGTCAGAATTTTCTTGACTGCACATGTTTATTATTGGTGAGTTGGCTGGGTAGCTCTGTGGTTTAGACATCTAGTTGCAGAGACAAAGGTTGGGAGTTCAATTCCCCACTGTGCCTCCTGTGAGTACAGTCAGCCTGTGTGGTCTTCTTGGGCAAGCTGCACAGTCCAAGGGCACCCCAGGAAGAAGGGGATGGTAATCCACTTCTGAGTACAGTGGGGTCTCTACTTAAGAACTTAATCCGTATTGGAAGGTGGTTCTCAAGTTGAAAAGTTCTTATGTTGAATCTGCATTTCCCATAGGAATGCACTGAAAACCATTTAATCCGTATCTGCTCTTTTCCGTCCATAGAAACTACAGTGGAATCTCTACTTAAGAACTTAATCCGTTTTGGAATGGTGTTCTTAAGTTGAAACGTTCTTAAGTTGAAGCAAAATTTCCCATAGGAATGGACTGAAAACCAATTAATCCGTTCTGGCTGTTTTTTTTTGTTATGTAGAGGTGCATTTGTTATGTAGAGGGGCGTTCGTTCCTATGGGAACTAATGCAAAGCTGGTTAATACGTACTCTACCACTAGGGGGAGAATTTTTTTAACCTAAGATGACCTAAGGTTAAAAAAAAGAGCAGGAAAGGTTTTTTTTCCTGTTCTTATCTTGGATTTCTGTTCTCAAGTAGAAGCAAAATTTAGCAAATGCAGCTGTTCTTAAGTTGGATTGTTCTTAAGTAGAGACGTTCTTAAGTAGAGACCCCACTGTATTCCTTACCTGGAGAATCTTGAAAAGGGTCTCCATAAGTCAGAAATGACTTGTCATCACTATTATTTACCATTTTAATTCCCCAGTGAGTTTCCATGGTTGAATGGGGATTAGAACCCAGGTCTCCTGAATCCTAGTCCACCACTCTACCCACTGCACTACATTGGCTCATGTCAAATTATAAAATGTTTATTTCTCTAGGCAGAAACTGGATTTGTTGTATCATGTAAAGCATTATGTACGTATTATTATGATTTGCTCCAGATTTATCTATGCACCCACCAATATGTCTCTTTGCAGGGGCAGAAGGATGCCCATCACAGGGATTTGTTGCAAGTGCCAGCAGCACAAACTGCTGCTCAACAGGAAGTTCAGGTACAAATCTTCATGTAGAGGTTAACAGGCCTTAAAAGCAACTGTCTCTAAATAAAACTGGCTCATCGAGTTGCTGCAAACCTAAAGCAGCACTCAGAGCTGTCCTTGGACACAGACAAATAATCGCAGGGTAACAAAACATGGAGTAGCTTCTCCGTGTTAATAAGGGGATGGGTGGCTGGAGGAGGAAATTTCAGTTGGCGAAGCTTCTCGGTCAAGGGGCTGACAAGAGAAGACAGCTTTTCCTCTGGGCCAGAACTCTTAAAAGGAACCCCAGCCCTCCCCCCCCGCGCGCACTGCGCCCAATTGCAAATGGTTCCTCCCATTAATCAGCTAAACTTCCCAGAAAGTTTTTCCTTAAAGATTGGGCAGATCCAAGGCAAGAACGGGCTACGAAACCCCAAAGGAACTGAAAGAGAAAGACTTCTCAAAGGTGGGGGGGGGCTTAAAGCAGAGATTCCACTCACAGGCGCTGCGGCTGCGGGGAACCAGGGGTAAGGCCAGTCCGGCGGTCCCCCGTTTATCTTCAGCGTGCTTCAGCACCGCGGACAGATCCCGGGGCGCTCCCTTCTCTCCCTTCTCCAACCGGCCGCTCCCTTCCCAAGCGCCCGGCGGCAGAGGCGGCGGGAGGCGGCGGGCGGGCGAGGCTCCAGCAGGGACCCCAGCAGCAACCGCTTGGCTCGCCTCTTTGTTCCGGCTTCTGAAGGCTCGCGGCTTGCCGGCGGCGGCCGCCTCTGGGGCTCCAGCCGGCTCCGAGCTGAGCTGAACCACGGTGTTGCGCGAACGGGTGAGAGCGGAGGTGACGGAACCCATGGTGGCGGGCAGGGCTGGCGGCAGACTGAGGACTTACTTCGCCCTGGCGCCCGGTGAGGAGGGTCGCCCGCCCTCGCTGCTCGGCCCCGCCTTCCAGCTGCCCGCGCCCCTCCTACTCCGCTCTGGAAAATCGACTTTCCAGGCTGCGAATGGGGACGCTTTGGGCGCCCTCTCAGTCTCTATTTTCCACACGAGGGCGGGCGCGCCCGCGCGCGCGTCCGGGTGAAAGCGGCAACCTGGAAAATCCCGCCAGAGGTGACTGAGGGAAAGCGGGCGTCCCCCTCGATGCCCCGAACCTGCTCTTTCCAGCGGTGTCCGCCCCTTTATCAGCCCTGACCGAACTCTGCCATATCTTGTTCACGTTGCTTCCAGTTCTCAATAGGACAAGCCTTTCGTTTGCAAGTCACGGCTTCAATATTTTGAAGTAATTTTAAAATATTTTAGTTGTAAAAGGTATTAAAATGTTAAAACGTCTGTTTATTCAAGGTCAGGTTCTCGGAGTCTTTCTGCTCTTATGCTCATCACCGAGTTCTTGAGACCAGGCTGCAAACTGCTTAATAGCTGTTATTAGCAGCATCTATGCACCTCCCATTTTTGAAAAAAAAAAGTTGATTTTTTTTATAGTAGGCAGGCAGGCTTGTCAAGTCCCTGTGGGCAGGAACAAAACACCCACACACATCTTGATCTATAATTTGTATCTTTCAGTAGCTGTGCTGTTCTTGCTGAATATGAAGATTCCCAACTGAAGGCTGATGGAAACAGCCTTCCCAATATTTTACAGCAAATTTGAGGATTGCATTCAGTCATAATTATTGTAATATAACACTAATCAGTGCTAAGGGTCTGATTATAGACTGCTATGCACTAAGTATGTGATTACACCAATCACCACATCTATCTAATTTTCAGGAAGGGAAATATATTATTAGTCTGGATGGCAGTAAGACTTAGGGATAGACAGATTGGCATTCCAGGGTTCTGCAAAATGTAAGAGAGGAGTTGAGGAGGAAAGCAGAGAGCTACAGTGGTTATCTGGAGTACAGAGGTTGTTTCCGGCCATGTGGCAATAGTGGGCACCTGGAGAAATAACAATTTTGTTCAATTTCCAATTGCTTTCTGTGTTTCCTGGCCATTTGATTTTCTCTTCCATGTTTTCTGTTCTCCACCAATAAAAGATTGCATTCTGTGTTATGACAGTATTCCAGAATATGGAACTGGTCTGGAACAGACAACTAGGCAGCAATAAAATGTTTTAAAATGAGAGCCTACCTATTACTCCCTCCATTGACTGAGATTAAAATGAAGTGATCAGGCTTTCATAAAAAGCACACGAACAAGTACGTAGGAAAATTGGTGGAAGTTACTAGGTTTGAATGTTTCTTTTCCTAGTTAGACCGACCCTAAAGATACAGGTGGATGCTATATGGAGGCTCTCTACAACTGCAGCAGAGAAAGAAATCTTAGAAGCAGAATACATAGAGCTTCCAGATCATCTGAAGTGAAAGGAGACCCAAGTGCTTAGGAACTGCAAAACTGACAAAAAATCTCTTTCAGAAGGCTTAGCAAGCCAGAACTGAGTGCTTTGGGATAACAGGCTAATGAGGCTCTTCAGCAAGCAGTCCAGGCCCTGCAAAGCAATGTTTCCAGATTGTGACTTCCACAGAAGTGCAGCCTGGAATTTCCAGCAACATAGAGTAATTTCAATGCGACTGCAACAATCAAAGTGATTTTGGCCAGCAAAGTAATTTTCAGCAGTTAGATGTCTACAGTGAGAAAGTAAGCAAAGTCCTGACCCTGCATATTATTTTTAAACCAAGAAAATGCTTTAAAAAACCTAGGGATATTGGGTCCAGGTGTACATTTATTTTGTATTGACCCAAATAAAAAAATGCAGTATCCATGCATCTGAGGGGACAACAAAGTCAGTGCAATAGACTAAAGATAATCCAATCAGATTAATGTCTTTCTATAGCACTACTGTTGAATGTGAAATTTTTGTCAGACACAAAGTGCTGTTCAATTATGCAATTACTTAGTTGAATGTATTCATACATATTGCAGAATTGATGATCTTTGAGTAAATTTCTCATTGTGATTAATTACTTTTAATAGTGGCTTACTGAATTTGCACTGCTGGTTTCTTACTGGATTTACACTGCTAGTTTCTTAATGTGTGTAGATGACCAGCTATTCACCACAAGGCTTTAGGTTATAAACTTTATAATCTTTTGCAACTGATCACGCGTGTTGAGGCTTCTGAGAGCTGACATTCAAAACATCTAGAGGACAAAGTGTTTCCTATTCCCACTATTGTACATTTAGATTTAGATAAAACCTTTATTGTCATAAGTAGAAATTGGACATAGTCACAGTGGTTTGTTAGGTAACTACATATATAGGCATCAAGAGGGCAGAAAAGTGTCCCTTAAAGGGACAACGATTCATCTCCTAACAATAGTATCAAGGAAGTCTGCGACTCTTTCTACAATATCAGTCATCTCAGCCACCAGCATATAGCGAACTTTATCCAGATCTGACCTCCCTTCCAGCTTTAACAAAAGACAGTGAAGGCTATCTTTCAGAAAATCCACCATATTGCTGATCAGCTGGACTCCCTCCAGGACTTACTAACACAAACTGGAAAAGAATCTCCACACCCCCACATGTGACAGCTCCAAGCATAGGGGAAACGTAAGGGAGCCCATCCCAGTGGAGGGGGGATGGCACAAGACTTCTTCTAACCAAACATAGCCTAAACAACTTCTCGACGCTTTCTCATAACTCAAATAATCATAGAAGTGATGGACAATCATATAAATAAATGAAAATGGAAAAACAGGTAAAAGGTTCTCACTTCCTTGAGTAAATTGCTGCGAATAGAGGTGAGCCAGCTTGATCTAAAATCCATTGAATGCTTACCTTGCTATATACTAAGGCTATGGATGGAGTTTTACAAGCCCATGATGCCTCTCATGCTTTGCAGGATGAAAAGATTTCTGAGCACCTTCTCCATTGCAACAAAAGAGAGTCTTTTCGGATGTATCTCCAGATCCAGATATAAAACAGACTCAGCAACGTTTGTGGAGCAAACAGTACTAGCTACTCCTCCACTGGCCACAAGGCCACAGCTAATGGGCTCTTGGCCAAAACACAACATAGACAAAGGTCAGCTCATGGCACAGCAACAACAGGAAAGAGTACAGCCGCAATCAAGCTGCATCTCTACCAGCAGTTAGAGAACTGGTCTCCCTGGATAAGCTGGAGTGCCTGACAAAGTTCTTGGAAGACTCTCTAGTAAATTTAAGAGGGTTCCCAGCTGTGCATAGCTTAACAATATTGCCAGCAGCTGGGATGATACAAAAACCTCAAATTGAGTCTACTCCAGAGCTCAAGGTCCAGGGGAAGGCACCTAACTTGGGCCACAACTGGAACAGTGTTGCAAAGCAGGTAAATAGTTTTACTCAGATGGTAACTGATCAGGACAATACTGAATCACCATCCAAGGACTTACTGATGCAACTGGATATTGATGGAGATGAACTTGTGGAAGAAGCCACGGCCACTTTTAAAGATTTACCCAGGGAGGAACTGGAGAAATTGAGGACCAACTTAATTAACATCACAGAAGTCCCTATGTCACCTCTGATTCCTCATGCCACAGAGGGCACCACCCTGCCAGGTGATCCTTCATCAATCATTGAATTCTCCACTCCACCCTCCTTTCCTTTAGCTCCCTCTGGTCTGCATCAGCCCCTAGTCAGAGAATCTACCCACCACTACTCCATTTCCAACATCGTGGGAGTGGCACAAACCCATCCAGGAAGACCCGCAGTGGATGATCTGCTACTTCACGACCCAGGAAATTCACTTCCAGAAGCCACAAATCTAGACCTCCTTACTAACCTAGAAGCTGAGAATTGACTGAATAACTCCTCCTTAATTCCTGAAAATAGAACCTCATTTAAAATTCTTTCATGTAACATAGCAGGCTGGAAGGGTAAATGTAAAGAAGCTTATTTGTGAATTATATCAAAAATTATGATATTATACTGTTAAGGAAACGTGGGCTGTAGACCAAGTATTGCTAGGAGCCGCCCAGAGTGGTCGACCAGACCAGATGGGCGGGATATAAATCAACTAACTAACTAACTAACTAACTAACTAACTAACTAACTAACTAACTAACTAACTAACTAACTAACTAACTAACTAACTAACTAACTAACTAACTAACTAACTAACTAACTAACTAACTAACTAACTAAATAAATAAATAAATATTCCGAACCTGCAATTAAGGTCAATAAGAAAGGGAGACCAATTGCTGGCCTAGCTGCAATGGTTAAAACTTTCTTAAATTCGGAATATATGGAACTGCCTATCTCTCAGTGTCATGTATTGGCCATTAAGGTTTGTACCCCTAACAAAGTATTGATTCTAGTCAACATATACATACCCCGGGTCTTAAGAATCTACAGTGGTTTCAACAGTGTAATTCCTTCACCAAATGCATAGAGGAACTTGAGAGGAGGTTCCCACTGGCTGAGTTCATCTTGACACGTGATTTCAATATCCAGGGTGGGAAAAGATGATCAGATATTTTTGAAAGCATTAGATGTGGACTGTGATACTTCCCTTCCCACCTGTTGCACCTTCAGCAGACAGTTCAAGGACCATATCTGTTATATTGACATCATTCTATCATTTTTGAGATTATATCCCATTACAGCTTTTCCCACTCTTTTGTTGACTATGAGGGCTACTCCATTCCTTCTACAGGATTCTTGCCCACAATAGTAGATATGATAATCATCTGAGCTGAATT